GCCTCGGCCTCCCAGAGAGCTAGGATTACAGGCGTGAGCCACCGCGCCCGGCCGGGAAAAAACAGTTTTTGTAACTTTTTCGATTTCAGAATTACTGATGGATACTGCATTTTATGCTCTGAAACGCCAGGTTGTTTCTCAGACGTAGCCGTTAGCCAGTAAGAACTGATTCAGTAATTGCAGCTTTCGCATCGTATTGTTGGGATACGGAAACAGCTGTGTTAACATGAGAAGTCAGCAGTAATTTTTAGTTTTGATGATTATATTTTACGTTATTTAAAATACGTTTCATCTTGTTTAAAAGATGGAAGAACTCAGAGAATTTCCTTATTGAGCTGTTTTGAATTAGATTTTTAATAGGATTGACAATTGTGTCTCCCAAAAAAGTGTAAGATTAAGTAAACGAATTTTACAATTTACTAACTTTAAATGTTTCTCCATTAGGTGACATTTTACAATAACAATTTTATTGAGTATAATTCTCATAGTAAAACCAATTTAGTGCTTTTAGTGTGTCACCACAGTGGACTTTAGGACATTGTCACTGTTCCGTGTCACCATCACACTCCCCGTCTCCCTCCCCTGAGCCCTGGGCAGCCACTGCTCTGCTTTCTAGCTCTGCTGCCTTCCCATTCTGCACGTCACGCGATGGACTGACACATACGTGGTCTTCCGTGACTTCTTTTGCTTAACACAGTTTTTTCAAGGTTCAGCCACATCATAGGATGTGTCACAACTCCTCCCTTCTGTGGCTGGGCAGTGTTCCATCCTGACGGTGGGCGGCCACCATTGGTTAGTAACATTCCGTTACAGGATGGACCACAGTTTGTTTAGCCATTGGTCAGGTGATGGACGACATTTGGATTGTCTCCACTTTTTGGCCATTATGAATAATGCTGTTGTGAACATTCACATTAAATGATGTTTTAACTATTATGACATTTATCCATTTAATTTTGTCTTTTGTGGCACAGACTGAAAAGTTGTAATTGTCAGGTTTTTCCAAAAGCCTGTGTACATGTTTCTTAGAAAGCATGAACACATTTTACTTAAAAGGAAAATATTAACCACCCAAACATGGGAAGTGTTAAGGCATCTGACTCTCATTACTGGTCTTTATTTACGTCCGTTTAATGGATGCCACATTTGGCATAATCCCCTTTCCACACGCCAGAGCTCCACTTGCAGGAAGAGTGACGTGCAAATCATTGTTCATCAGTTTCCTTTGCATACTTGTTTCTCACTAATACTGTTAATAAAATGAGATTTTATTATTTACGACATTTATGAAGTTTTCCTGAGTGTTTTCAGTTTTCCTGTTCCTTGGTCTCAGGTTCATTTCTCTCATCTTTAACACCTGCCTTGCTCAGATATTCGAAAGAGCAGAACACCCGTGTTGTAAAGCGTGGACGGCTCATTAGAGTTTAGCTGCTAACTCAGGGCCGGAAAGGCCTCGTTGCTGAGCTGTGCCGCGTTGTGAGTGGCTAATCGTTGCTCTTGCAGCTGGGAGGACCATAACGGACGCGGAGCTGGAGGAGGTGCTGGAGAGCGGGAGGCCTTCCATCTTCACGTGCGACGTGAGTGCGCCCGTGGCGTCGCGCCCTGTGCTCCGGGCGGATGCTCATCCTCACTGCCACGCCAGCCATGAGCTCAGTAATACCCTTTTGTTTTTGTTTTTCCAAGATTATATCAGATTCACAAATTACTAGACAAGCTCTCAATGAGATCGAGTCTCGTCACAAGGACATCATGAAGCTGGAGACCAGCATCCGTGAGCTGCACGACATGTTCATGGACATGGCCATGTTCGTGGAGACCCAGGTGACCACAGGCGTCCCTGCCGCTCTGGGGGGTCTTGTGTCTGATCTCACTGTGTGTAGGAAAGCCCTCATTTTAGATCCAACCTCAAAATGCGAAAGTTGATTACAGTGTATGTGTAGCACTGAAATGCCGGAAACAGCTTAATCTTTCAAAAGTAAGGGACTGGTCTGGTTAATTAAATTTTTTTTTATATTTTTATTTTATTTTTTAGAGATAGGGTCTTGCTCTGTCACACAGGCTGCAGGGCCATGGCACGGTCATAGCTCACTGTAGCCTTGACCTCCTGGGCTCAAGTGATCCTCCCGTCTCAGCCTCCCAAGTAGCTAGGACTCAGGCATGATCCATCACGCCCAGCTAATTTTTAAAAAAATTTTTTTCTGGAGACAGGGTCATGCTGTGTTGCCCAGGCTGGTCTCAAACTCCTGGCCACAAGCATTAAGCAGTCCTCCCCGCTCAGCCTCTCAAAGTGCTGGGAATACAGGCGTGTGCCACCATGCCCAGCCCTGGGTAATTAAATTATGGTGCGTGCATAGGTCAGCTTTTTGGGCAAATATAAGGCAATATAGACTTTTTTGTGTGTGGAAAATTTTTAATGAAATATACAAATGTTTCTGTTAGAATTAAGATAAACGGGAGATACAAAAGATCTCATGCATATATCCATATATATGTATAAATATATATAAATACATACATACATTCATACACACATGGCATGAACTAGGCTATATAAAACAGTAGTCACAGAATGAAAGAAATACACCAGTGTAACAACAGTGAGGCTGTGGGAATTTTAGTTTTCTTCTCTAAATGTAGTATTTGCAAGTTTTCTATCAGAGCATTTAGTACAGTGATAATTGGGAGAAGTACCTAAAGGAATAAACCCCAAAGGGATCCACCTGTGACACGAGGAAAAGCTTCCACGGGGCGCGGTGCTGTCTGCAGTGCGCGGGCGGGCGGGGGCCTTTCTGAGAGAGCCGGGGTGTCGATGCGGTTTACAGAAATACGCGCAGTTCAGCGTAGAGCACGAGATGGTGCGTATCTGTCGGGTGTGTGGATGCTCACCCAGCTCCTGTGACCCCAAGCGAGGGCCTCCCGGGTTTGCCAAGTGCCGTGTGGGGTGAGGACTCCGTCCTTTGTGGGTTCAGCGTCTGGGTGGGATTCAGGTGGCCAGCAGGCGAAGCGGAAAGGCTCCCTGGACCCGCCCCAGTAAAGCATTTCCCCACCCTCCCGCGAGGGCGGGGTCTGTTCGGCTGGGCTCGTCCTCTAGGAAGGTTCCAGTCCGATTCGCTTGCTTGCCGAGACGGCCGGGCTGTGCGAGGTGGTAGGACATCCCCACGTGGGGGCTTGTTCCCACGTGCCTCACTAACCCCTTAAAGAGCACCGTATCGCCAGGGACCGCGTCCCAGAGGCGTGTGTGGACAGCTCAGGTACGGGCACCTGCTGACGGAAACCGACACCGCACGGGGCTGGGACAGCCTTGCTCCTTGCTGGGTGGTGGACCCGTAGCCATTCAGGATGCAGCAGGCGGGGAGCTGGATTGCCGCCAGCGTCTTATTTTCAGGAAGTATCCCGAAGGGAACCAGCTGGGTCATAAGAATGGTAGCTTCTCTTTGTGATTACTAAAGATTTTATAGTACCCTAGACGTCATAGTTGTTCTATACCAGAAGCATTTCCCTCAGAAAAACTGCTCTGTTCTTAGCCTTGTTGCGTTGTTTCCTTAGAGAAGCCTGTGAGCGTTGCGTTATATTGACTCGTGCAATTCAGAATGTGTGTGTAGTCACAGTTACTGGCAGGTTTGATTGTGAACGAGTGAGTTAACTGTCCGTCATTCTCCACCGCTCTGCTGCGCACTGCTGCAGACGCTGTCTGCCGGGGGACAGAGGACCAGGTACTGTGCTTCCTCCCACGCTTCGCCGCCGTCACGTCCGCTTACATTTCTGCTCCTTAACGTGTCACCTCAGTGTCAGGCACAAGCGATCCTTAGTTTACTGATACTTTAAAGAATAACAGTTTTCCACCTGTTAGAAGAGATGTCATTCTTTGTATTTCATCTGTCTGTGCGTATCAGTAAACGTCAGCTTCTGCTGAAGCTCGCTGCCTCCTCATCGTGCTCGAGTTCGCAGTAAAGCGCATCTCAAAGTCCGCTCCATGTGCCTGTAACTGCCAACACCTTCGCCCATTCCTTTAGATTCTTTTAAAAATACAAAGTCAGTATTGATTGCTTTGATATCCGGCGCATTTACAAATGGCCTCACTGTTTCCCTTTCTGTAAGTGTGAGAAGAATTCAGTATCCATTACATGCACATTGTGTTTACACAGACACTTTGTTACATGGTTGTCTTAAGATGCACAGTTAAGTCATTTAAAATATTTTCTAAGTTGGAAACTTTTCGTTTTAAGGGCGAAATGATCAACAACATAGAAAAGAACGTTACGAATGCCGCGGACTATGTAGAACATGCGAAAGAGGAAACCAAAAAAGCTGTTAGATATCGCAGCAAAGCGAGAAGGGTGAGTTTGGCTTTAAAGAATTAAAGTGTGTTTTTCTTTTCAGTTGGTTTCAAGTTGTAATACGTTAAGGTAAGCCTGCGTAACAGGTATTTCAAGAAATAAAAATCCCTTAAATAAATGTTTTGTTTTAAACTGAAATAATTGTTTTTGCTAAAAATGTATTAGATAAAGCATGTTGAGTATGAACTGTTCTGTGTTCTAAGTAGTTAGAACCCTTCACAACCAGAGGCAGTGCTGTTTCCCTTCTCTGGGTGGGAGGAGTTTGAATTTGAGAGTCCGTTTCTTGGGTGGTCACTGGGAGGTAGCTACAAAACTGGTGGGATTATGAATTCTCCTAAAAATTGTTGGTTACGCGTTTTACGCAATGAACATTTATTCTTACTTAGGTTGTTTGGTACTTCTTAGGTTTGGAGGAAAGGAGAGTTATTTGAGACTGTGACCCTAAGATCTTGCGTAGCACCCGCTTGCAGAGATCCTCCGAAGAATGGCGTCTCGCTTAAGGGCCACATACTTCGCATTCAGAAGGGTTAAGGGAATCTCGTGTGATTTTTTGTTTGTTACTGGGGCCAAAATGTAAACTTACTTTACTAACTTAGGCATTTTATCCTACTGCCTCTGAAACTCGAGAGATGGGTTTTCCGCACCGTCACCTCCGTTTGTTGATGCGCGGGGTGCCGAGGATGCCGTGGGCTCTGTAAATGAGCTCCCGCCTGCATCTGGTTCTTCAGTGTTGGTGTGAATGAAAGTTCTTCCAAGGAAACCATGGAACCACAATTTAAGTTCCGAGGGGCTGGGAAACTCTCCCCGAGTCTCGCTGTGTGCCCGCCCGACAGTCCCTCGTCTCCCTGCGGTGTGCGGAAGGACCGACAGGCGGCACCAGGCCGCTGCTTGGGCGCTGTCATCGCTCCTTGCTGAAGAGGAGGGTGGGGCTCAGGGCAGGTCAGGGGGTGTTTCCGCGTGAGGTCAGCAGGAGACGCGTTCACGGTGTGAGGAGAAAGCAGTCAGGTTGCGCGTGGGAACCACTGCCCGTGGGCACTCTCGCCCAGGACGTGCGTGCGGGCTGTGACGTCAGCCTGCAGAGCACGTGACTCTGTCTTGGGCGTGTCTAAATGTGATCGTTGAAATATCAGACATTGTTTCCCACGTTATTTTGTGTGATGGGTTCTTGAAATATTGACCCTTGATGTAGATTCAGGTGACAGATACAGACATAAAGTGCCCAGCTTAGTTCCAGGCACAGAGTTGGCTTCCACTAAAAAAGGCAGTTCCCTTCCTTTTCTCCATGACATAAGCACGTCAGTCCAGTGAGAACCTCAGTGAAAATTCACTGGTTTTGTGAAGAAGAAAGACGGGTCTGACACCTTTTCATTCTTACCCGCGGATAAGTCAGCCGACTTCATCCGCGCTCGGGGTCTGCGCGTCGCCAGACTGTGAGCTGGTCCAGGGTGTGATGTCTGCCTCAGCGTTATCTCCGCCTTTGGATTAAATGCCTGAGAACTAAAGCCACCCTGAGTGCGGCCCTGCCGCTGCCTGCTCTCCCGCCACGTCTGCCCCAGTCGGTCTTCCTGCCCTGGCGTCCTGCGCTCACGCCCAGGGCAGCCGCGTGGGGCTCGGGGCAGCAGCACCCGTGGGAAGGGTGTTTTCCACGCGGCACGTCAGCAGCACACAGACAAGCGCAGGGCGAGCGCAGGGCGAGCGCCGTGTGGCGCAGGCGTCCCGCGAGGACGGCGCATTCTCAGTGCGCCCAGCTGGCTGCGCACGCCTGTGTGTGTGAAAGTTAACTGTGGTCTCCGTCCGTCACAAGGCACCAAAACAGTGTGATCACACTGCTCCCCCTCTGGTGAAACCTAACACTCTGAGAGTTAGCTTTTCTCTTCAACTAACCTGCCTTTAATAAGTTAAAAGTCGCTCTTTTTGAGAACTAAAAATTGCCAGGCTCATGTCCTGTAACTTAGAGTTCTGATGGATTGTTTTGTTTTAAACGAAGGCTGTCTTTTAACGTGGCAATGTGAAATTAACCCTGACATAATCAGCTTGCTTTTCTTTGACAGAAGAAGTGGATAATTTTCGCTGTGTCAGTGGTTCTGGTTGTCGTGATTGCTCTAATCATTGGCTTGTCAGTTGGCAAGTGATGGTGTGGAGGACGGCAGCGGCCTGCCTGCCAGGGCGGCAGTAAGTAACCAATTAACTCATTTCCTTACTAATTTTCACAATTAACCAATAATAGTGCTTGCTCAATTTTAATAGACTTAAAAATAATAAAATGTTACTTGTATCACTTGAGGGTGACAGTGTGGCCAGCAGCAGCTCTGTGGTCTCTTTAGTCGCTTCCAGTCTGGGGAGAACGTGTCACTCTTTACGCTTCACTAAACATCACGGCCCCATCAGTGAAGATTAATTCTCAACTGAAAAACTAACATATAATATTTTAATTTATGTCTCAATTTTAACTTTTAGAATAATTGTGACTGAAAGTTATTAATGCTTTGTGAAATATACTAACTCGTTCTACCGTGGAATTGAGAGAGTGGATCTAAAGCTAAGAAAAAACATTGACTAAGATTAAAATCCTTTGTCGGACTTTTTTTTTTTTTTTTTTTTTTTAATTTTTGAGACAGAGTCTCGCTCTGTTGCCCAGGCTGGTCTTGAACTCCTGAGCTCAATCGATCCTCCCACTTTGGCCTCCCAAGGTTCTGGGCTCACAGGTATGAGCCACCTTGAACTTTTCTGTTCGACAGCATCTATTTTGTTTAAAAATATTTTCTTATTAAAACAAAAACTATCTATTCTGTTAGTATGCCTGTTAATTCTTAATTAAAGGATTCCAAATAAAAGATACTCAATTCATTTCAAGGATCCATTTTTTTTGTTCACTATATGAGTAACAACTTTGCCCAAACTTCAGTCGAGTTTGTGTTTTCTTTCTGGTTTTCTTACGTGCTGGGACCTTAAGTTGGACTTCTGCCGGGCAGATTAGGGTTGGACGCGCCAGTTATTTCTCTGTCAACGTCTGCTGGCATAATCGTGATGCGGATACGGTGAGGTGCCGCGGGGCGTCGGGACTGGGGCCGTCCGTCCCTGCTGCGTTCGCTCTTGTGTGTGGAGGTGACCACAGACGTCGTAGGCAGAGAGGAGACGAGGGTCACGACCGCTCCTCAGTGTTGAGATTATTTCTGTGACGCTCACCAGCTGCCAGCTGAGAAGCAGCTGTGACGGTTACACAGGCTGCAGGTGACACTGGAGATGACGTGAGTGACAAGCTCTGGGACATGTTTGTCAACTTTCCCTTCTCGAGAAGGCAGAAAGGACCCTGAGCACTTGGTCATTATTAGGCAGAGTGTTTCTGTACCTTCCTCAGTCTTCCCTCTTAGCTCCGCTGAAACGTGGCGTATGTGATGTTTTCACTAAGATAATGGTGTTTTCCAATATTTTCATAATTCTTTCTGAAATGTGTGTTTTCTTGGTTTTTCCTAGTGGCCATACTATGGCTACGTTAAAGGTAAAATTACAGTTTTAGCGTGGACGCGGTGAAGCGCACTTCTTTCCACGGGTGCTGCTCAGCGTTGACGTTGACTCACAGAAGGCTCCTTCCCGTCTGTGACCCTGGAGAGCAGGCTGGAGCCCGGGCCCTGGGCTGGCACCTGCGACAAGGATGAGCACGAAATGGTCCTCACTCGTAAAACAGATCCAGGTCCCCCCAGCAGCGACTTCTGCATATGAAGGCAGCGATTAATGTCTTTATGCTTTTAAAACTTTAATGTGCTCTTTCACCCTTTAGCAGATTGCCTTCCTGTAGGCCGGGCACTGTACCCCCCGCCTGCCCTGCAGGGTGGGCCAGGGTGCGGGGCTGCTTCCTAGAGGTGACCCTAACCCCGCGGCCCTGCAGCGTGGCGGGTGCCCGTTTTACGTGTAAGGAGACAGGCTGAGATTTGTAGACAGCCGGCAGCAGAACCACGACTTACACTCGAAGCTGGATTGACTCCCAGGCTGTCCCGTCTCCCCTGAGGAGAAGCCCAAGCCTGTGGCCGGAGCTGTCACCAGGAGACTAGAGGCCACCCGGATTCCGGCACTCTGAATGCCATGTAGTCAGCAACCGTTCTGAAAGCCAGCGAGGGCAGGAGAGGACCCACGTGACGTAGCAGACGTGATCAGAGCACACGTGCAGAGCTGGAGCAGAGCCAGGGCACCGGGGTGGCCTCGTGGGAGGTATCAGAGGCCAAAGGAAAAGTGTGCCTCTGGAGGGTGCCAAGAAGGGTTCGTAGTAGGACATGCAGAGAGGATGAGGGAGTGGTCGGACTTTCCCGGAAATATTCAAGGAGGCAGCTTCCCATTCATCTCCGCAGTCGCGCCCTGATCGATCGGGCGCACGCGTGCTGATTCTGGTTTAGAGCTGTCCAGGTGCAGCAGACACGACTTCTTAGATGAAAATGTGGTGTGCAGTTGGTCACTGTAATTTAAAATGATGAATCTTTGCTTTTTCGAAGAGAGCAGTGTGATGTTTCCCTCATTTCTGTGTCTTCCTTCCCTTCTCCCTCAGACAAGCTTCCTGGAGGCCAGGTTTCTTAAGCCAAAGGTGATCTAACTTTCAGTTGTGTGAGGGTGCTCGTTAATTAAAGAAAAAAACAAACTTAAATACTATATTGTGCCCTGCTTCTAGGCTGTGAATGCAGCGCAACATGAGCTGACGTCGTGTTGGTTCCTTATACGTGTTTGTCTTGCTTAAATGTAAGGCCATGGGTAGATAGGATTTTTTCAACCAGTGAGAAATAGTTTCATTTAAAGTTTTAAAAAGATATACAATGCATCCAGTTTAGAGCAGGTCTGGAATTTTATTATGATCAAAAGAAAGTGTTTATTACAAGCCCACATGGTGCCTTTTCCTTCTAGGAGGAAATAGTTGTTTTAATGACACATAATTCATTAAATTAATTTAATTTAATATACAGGTGTCTGGAACTTAACCATTGCCTTTGGAGTTTTCTATTCCCCTCCGTTTTCTGTGGCCTTGAGAGGTTCTTTCTTGATAATGGACTTACGTTCCAGAGGGATTTTGTCAGCAGGTGGCATTGTTGATTTCTTTGATACATTGACAATTAATGTTTTCCTTTATCTTGCAGAAAATGATGTTCATTATTGTTTGTGTAGTTATATTGCTTGTGATCCTTGGAATTATCCTAGCAACAACATTGTCATAGCAACCTCATCCCGAGAGCTGTTTATCCTTGGAGATTCAGACCACATCTGCAACAAAATCAACATCCTGTCGTTTAAGGAATGCATCTAAGACGTCGTGGCAGGGCATTGGGAGTGACTTTTTAATCAGTGAATTCAAGGAGAAAGCACAACAGAATGTCTTGTCCAGTGAAGCACTGAGCAGAAGGGATGTGAGGAGTGAGCTCAAATGTCCTCGGACTCTAATAAACACACCACAAAACTTTAACAAAGTGAAACTTGTTTCCATTGCCTTGAAATAAGAAATTATTGAAAATTTCAATTTTTTAAACTATTTCAGTGTTAAAAATGTATGTGAAGTTTAATTAGGAATACTTTTATGTTGTGAAGCTATTAGATTTCAAGTCTAAGACTTTCCTTCCTACCCTTCTCCCAGCTAATATATGCTAATTAAGAGACTTTTTGTACTATGTTTAATTTGTGTTTACTTATTGTTTGAAGAAACAGTTTTTATCACAGAGCTGTTTTGTAAGATATCTGTAATTTTAAATGTTTATAAATTGTTTAATATATTAACATCTTAATTTACCCCATTTTATACACTAAATATGGCCTTTGGAATGAAACAGGAAGCTTCATGATATTAGAACTGTCTTTGTACAGTTGTTTACAAAGTCCGCCGCCGTCACAGGAAACGCTGGTCGCAAAGCCGCGCAAACATCCTTGCACGTGCCTTCTGTGACGCTGGTCCAGAAGGTCGGAATGTGCCGGATACCTCCAGAAAGTCTTGATTATTTAGCTCCATTCCTACCTGTTCATTGGCCCAGGGTAATAAGTAATCAGTTGCTGCAGTGTAAAGACAACGGCCTCTTCTTTGTCACTGAACGTGGGGTCTGCGTTTCCCTGTTCATGTTGATAAAGTCCGAGGTTAAGATGGCGATGAAACCGAGATGTAGTGCTCTTTAAACTCAAGGAAATTGCTCCTAGACTTTGAGCAGTTCTCATAAATTTAAACTTGTACAGATCCCTTAAATGTTCCTGTTAAGTACCTAATATTCTGTCAAACTTTAAAAGTTAATTCCCAAAGTTTATAGGGATCTGTGATAATTAAACATTTTTATTGCTCATTATGGTTTTTAGGATAATAATAGGATTTGTTTTTAGTTTATAATACGTGTGAGCTAGAGAACGCACATCTGTTAAGACAGTAACTGGTCAGAATTCTAAATGAGCGCGTGAAGGATACCCGCAACGCAGTGACCTCCCCCACGGCCGTGCGCGGTCGTAGTAGCACGTGGCTGTGTTCTAACATCGTCTGGCTCGAAAGTAATGTGTCTATGCTTGATTCAAGCCATAAGTGTGGGTAATATTGGACAGTTTAGAAACTGTGTTCCTTATTTAATACAATTACGAATTTCACTCGTTCATAGCTTATCCATCCAACCGCTTAGCTTCGACCCAGGTCTGTATGTAGCATTTCATGACTTGCCGCCCTCACCGTGAACGCAGAATTACTGCAGGAGTATTCCGGAGATATATATATATATATATATATATATATATATATATATATATTTTTTTTTTTGGTCTTTAACTAGCCTGCCAGTAGTATACGCTTGCTGATTTGTGGTTAAGCCGAAGGTATCAGTTGTCCTGAAGGGCATTTGGGTGTCCCGAGATCACGCCTGCGCGGACACGGCCCTCACACGCCTGTCTGCATCATCATGTCCACGTGCAGAGGGCTCTGTGCTCCTGAGAACCCATCGTGGTTACGTCCACTTCAAGCTTAATCTTCTTAGTCCTCGCCTCTCGTCGTACCTCTCGTTGTGTTTTTCAGGTCGTTCTTCCTACATTTGAAGTACTTACTGAATTTGTGTTTTTTATAGTTGAAGTTATGGAAATGTTTTTTGATTATATTTAAATATTTAAGTCAGTTATCAAATGACACATTCGTATGTCTAAGCCTCATGTACCTACTATTTGAAATCAGATTTTTAAAAATATATTTACAGATTCATTTGTTACTTTTTTATCATTTCTTCAAATATTTCATGTTTACATTAAAAAGAATTTCCAGAGAAGCAAAAAAGAAGTATTTACTTTCTGCCTTGCCATGTCTGGAAAGATTTTTGGGGAGATATTTTATTGTATATCCATTAATAAATTGTTATACTAAGAAAATTACTCTTATGTGTGGCTGTTATTATGTATAATAATGTGAGTGAGTTTAGATGTTTCTGGTAGTTTTTTTTTTTTTTTTTGAGACAGAGTCTCACTCTGTTGCCCGGGCTAGAGTGCAGTGGTGTCAGCCTAGCTCACGGCAACCTCCAACTCCTGGGCTCAAGTGATCCTCCTGCCTCAGCCTCCCGAGCAGCTGAGACTACAGGCATGCGCCACCATGCCCGGCTCATTTTTTCTATATATTTTTAGTTGTCCAGCCAATTTCTTTCTTTTTTTTTTTAGTAGAGACGGGGTCTCGCTCTTGCTCAGGCTGGTCTCGAACTCCTGAGCTCAAACAATCCTCCCGCCTCGGCCTCCCAGAGAGCTAGGATTACAGGCGTGAGCCACCGTGCCCGGCCTCATTTTCTTTTTTTCTTACTTTTAAGTCTAGGTTGCTGGGGGTTGTCCCTTCGTCTGCACAGGTGCTCAGCCACCCTGAGCCGGGAAAGCCTCCGTCCTCTGCTGAGGGCTGTGTGTGTGGGTGAGGCCTCCAGAGTCCCGGCTGCCTTCGAGCTGCCCCCTGGGCCCCCTGAGGTGGGCGCCACGGTGGGGTGGGGCAGCCCCACCCAGCGACGCTGGCTGCCCAGAAGAAACTCAGGGGGCTGCTGGCAGAGGTGGGGAAACCGGCGCCCAGGAGGAAACAAACCCAAGTGTCCACTGAAGAAACCGTGGAAGCCTTCGGGGCGCCTCCAGCGTGGGTGGGGGCAGTGGGTCCGCGGGAGGGGAGATCGACTCCCCGCACCCGGCCCGGCCACACGTCAGGTTGGGTGGCTGGCGGGAGGTGGAACCTGGCAGCGTGGGCTGCACGCCGAGTCCCAGGAGGGGCCCTCAGAAACTAGGGGACACCTGCGCTCGCCCCGCGGTGTCCCCACGGCCAGGGGGGCGTGGCACCGAGCAGCAGATAAACAGGTGAGAGAGACGGTGGAAGAAAGACGGAGCTTCGATGTTTTACCACCTTTGACAGCTCTCCCGGCTCTTGGAACAGAGGCTCCGGGTCTTCGCTTCCACTCGGCCCTCACGCCGCAGAGCAGGCGCCCGAGCCGGAGCTGAGCCCTGGATACGGTGACGCAGAGAAGCCGGCAGCACCGAGACCCTCGTCTCCCTCCTGCAGCCTATACCACTGACCTCATTCGTGTTTCCCCCCTTTGAGGTCTGTATATGTGATTGTAAAAATAGAAACTAGAGTCGGAGTCCGTAGAAGGTCCGTGGAAGGCGGTCGCCGCTGGCGGAGGCAGCCGGGGGGACGTCGAGGAGGAAGGGCTGGCCGGACCGGGAGGAGAATCCGGTGTCTCCAGGGAGGGAGAAGCTGGCTGGGGGCGCTGCGGGCCGAGAGCGTCCATCCGGGATGCGTTTTCACTGGGACAGAGAGACGCCAGGGTCCCCCGGAGAAATGAATCTTTCACGGCGCAGTTTCAGAAACGATGACACCCTTTGCTTTCCCTGCCCCGTCTGTGAATAAGGTTGACGAGATCATTCAGACGACCAGATTTCACAGGGTCTAACGCGCACACACGCTTCCCCTCGTGTTCTGGCGTTTCAGCAATGGAGGTGGGCTTCGCCGTCTGTGGGAAGTTGCAGTTACAGCTTCCGTGTCTCCTGCGTCGTCTCGGTGCATGGAAGAACGCGCGTCTTCCGACCGTCCTGGCTTTGATGAGGTCTGGCGCGTCCCTCCTTAGCTTTCTTCTTTGGGCCTCGGTCTCCCCGTATGTGCCGGAGGTCCCCCAGGGTGCCGACTGGCGTCGTGCGGGGGGGTGGAGCTGACCCCTGGCTGTGCCCACCCTGAGCCGGAAGTGGCCAGACTCCGAGGTTTGGAAGTGGAGTGCACCGAGACGCCACCACCACACCTGTGACTTTGCTTGTTGGCCTAGCAGTCCCTTTGCAGACCTGCTCCGGGATTTCCAAGCCAGCAGGGCCCCGGCAGAAGCCCATTTGCTATCCAGGGAAACGCAAAGTACTTACCTTCTAGGGTTGTCAAACAACCACAGCTTTCGTGTCCTTAAAAACCTCAAAGATGCTAATGTGTTTCAATATCTGGCAACCATCACCCTTTTGGAGGATTTGGAGGGAGACGAAGGTCTTCAGGGGCGTGGGGTGACATCGGCACCAGGTCCTCCAAGGCTTATTTCTTCCTGGGCGCTCATCTGTTGAATGTTCATAGATGGCTCGAGCAGATGAAGCACATGTTAGTGTAATTCAATTTTCCTGTCTCTGTTCCTCCATCACAAAATGAACTGCTTCAGCAAGAGGGAGATCGCCTCTCCTTGTGAACGACAAGGTAATGCATCACCGAAGGTCACGTCCGAGGCCTGCTGGGGACAAATGCGGCGGACTGTTTCCGGACCTGGCACCTCGGAGGAAACATCCAGCCTGGTTTACTGTGGATGTGGCCAGGGCTGTTGAGACCAATCCCCAGACCTATCTGGGGTTGTGTTAAATCACACGTTGGTAGTTTGCACCCTACTTCTGTACACCGAGATGGTGGTGTCGGTGGAAAATAAAGCATGAAAAATTAAAAACAAAACTTGAAGTTACTGTATGATTTTTAACTGGCCTTTGGCTGAAGCCAATTTCAACTCCGGTTTCCCCAGGGAGCGAGGCTAGGGGGTGACGTGGGGGTGCATCCCCCAGCAGGCCGGGCACTAGAAGGAAGCTGCCCTGGGGTGCGAAGTTGGTCAGGGCTGTTACTGAAACGGACCAGTCACACGCGGGGGATGGAATCTGGCCGCGTTTAGTCCACTTCCGCGTGTGGATATTCTTGCGCCAGACAGCGGGCTGTCTTAAACTCAAGGTGTTTGATAAGTTTCATGGGTGGTTCTGAGCAGGGAGTCGAGCCAGACTGCGTCCGTGTAAATTCCGTGTCTGCCACTTAGTAGCTGTTTGGCCCAGGGCTGGGCCTAGGGCGAGGGGAGTGAGGCGCAAAATTTCGGGGGATGCACATTCTTGGGGCTGTGCGCGTGCGGGGGACCCCTGAGAGAGAGGGACCGCCTCCTTAAATTCTGCATCCCGGGAGCCTCCCTTGCCTCCCCCGGGTGCTGGCCCTGAGTGATCTTGGAGCCTGATTCAACCTAGATACCTCAGTTTCTTCGTCTGTGTAATGGGGACGATAGTATTGCTAATGCCTACCTCGTGGTGCTGTTAGGGGACGTTCCCAAGACAAGGAAGAGATAAATGTCTGCGATGTTGGGTATCTCAGTTTTCCTGATTTGAGGTTACACATTGTATACAGGTGTCAAAATATCACATGCACCCCAAGATACGTACAACTGATACACGTCCGTAAAAACGAGATACTGCCTTTATTCTAACCTGATGCTCAACCAAACAGTGGGCCAAAGGCAGTGCGTGCCAACCTCGGTGATGGGGAGTGGCTCGGATGCGGGTGGGCGCGGGAGGACGAGGACGAGGACGAGGACACGAGCCAGGCAGCTGCAGCCGACCGCCGCCAACCAGGAACCGGCAGCTCCGGTCACCGTCTCCACGTTGCCACGAACGGCCGAACATCTGGATCGTGACGTGCGCCCTCCTCGCGTTCAAGCGTCGCGACGAACGTAATTTCAGAAACTTCCCTCTGTGGGCGAAACGGGGGCCAGCAACACAGGGGCAACCTCGGAAGTGGGACTTCAGCGTCCAGCACGGGGAGAGAGGCCAGAGCTCTCCGGAGGGATGGAAGTATTTTAGAACCGGATTTCGGAGACGATCGCTCCCTGAAAAACATCCGACTGTACCTTTGCGATGGATCCGTTGTTTGGTCTGTTAATTGTAATTCCATAAAGCTGCTTTAAAAAGATCGCCGTGCCCTCTGCATGCAGGACGGGAGTGTGCGGGTGGCGGGGCTGCCGGGCCCTGGCCCTCCCACCGCACTCTGGGGCCTTGTCCTGCGTTTGCCGTCGCGGCCTGCAGGGCGGTGGCAGCAGGGGGCGCTCGGCCGCCGCGGAGTGTGGCTGCCTCTTCTCCTTGGCAACTAGAATCCGTGTCAATCAAATCCCATTTTCGCCTTGACCCAGGCGACCCTTTAAGAGCCGTTTGTCATGGCTTCCGAGGAGGCCGGGGAATCCAGCCCCACAGGAATAATCCGGAGACAATGTTACCTGCAGGACACCCCTCCCTAGGGGATCCCTGCCAGAGCGGAGCGCTTTTGTGACACACAGACCATTCCGGCCCCGCGAAGGACCCTGAACCAGCAGGGGGCTCTGGGTCAACGGGGAATGAAACGCGGGAGGGAGCTTCAGCACAAGGGCCGCCGAGAAGGGGACCCCAGGGAGGTTCCCACCAGCTCGGAGCCTCCTAATCCCGTTGGGGCTGGGGGACGG